GGTTGCCATTTAATTCGATTTGGCAAACTGTACGTAACTGTATTTTTCTACGAAACATACTTCAGTTAGAAAATGATTTACCATATGTTTGTGAGCGCACCTGTTTATTTGCCACACCAGCTGCATTTTAAAAGAATTTAAACTTTGTACATAATAAATACACCGTTGAATGCAAGCCACAGGTTTTCATGTTGCAAGGTACATGCAACCGAAGCTCTGTGGACTCAAAAAATAGATAATCACAGGGCTCACTTAAATCTCAGTGTTTTGTCCCAAAGGAGGCGAGCCATAACACCATAACCCCAATTCAATCCACAGTGCCTGCCCCCACACTTCAATATTTATATTAATTTGTGTTTTAAAGATTCTAGTAAGACAACTACGCTACGCTTACCATAGCTTTAGCTGTTAGCTTCCTTGTCTGTAATGAATGGAGAATTTTACGGATCTGTTTTGATGTTAAATTTCCATACATAATTTCTAATAAAAACTAAGTCCATTAATTCTTGAATGCCTCTGGGTATGGCGGGATTTTACAACAGGCACTTGCAACGGCTTCGATCAAGACCCTGCTCTCCCCGTTTCCCATGGTAACGGAGAACAAACATCAACGTGTAAACTCCTCACCTGTGTCTCTCTTTTAACCATCCTGCAGGAGGCCATAAGCCGGGGGGAGCCTGTAGCACACAAAAAGTCCTTCAAATAGATGCTTTGCTAAAACGCCGCAGGCTTCGAAGCACTTGACAAAAGTTACGAGATTTATTTGAGAGAAAGAAATAGCCAAAGAAGAGAAGGAGGAAAAATGTGGAGCAAACAATATTTCCGGTGTTTTCTTTGTCTCAGCTTTAACATCTTTGGCTGTTGCTTCTTTTGAGTTTTTTGTTAAATTATGAAGGTGAAGAGCAAAATATTATCTCATTCATAAAGGGCTTTGATATTATTTTTTGCTTGGATTTAATGAAAACTGGAACAATGGTTCAGAATAGTATGGATTGATTTTTCGATCAATATTTTGAACAAATTATTACGGTGAGGGCTTTGAAGGTCGCACAGATAAGTTAATTGGTCTATCTTATACACTTATTCATATTGGAAGTTGTTATTTTTTCTCTAAACTTAACATACTTTTTAGGATATCGAACATTGCATGTGTAATGTTGGTCAGAAATAGAAAGATACTTTTCCAAAATTATGCAGCGCTGTTGGAAAATTCTCAAACACACACACACACCAATCTGTCCAAGTCGTTAATGATGCATCTAATTGAACTGTCGGTGGCGCAGTTGTCCTGGGTTCAGTTCCACCTTCCACCTGTCCGCGTAGGTTTCCTCTGGGCGCTCCGGTTTTCCCCCACCACTAAAAACATGTACAATAGGTCTGTGATACACCCCAATCCCATGTGAGAAATGAGAGGACAAATTCTCACATCAACTGTAGAGCAATTGTGACTAGTCTGTGAAAGATGCTACAAATATAAAGATTACTTACTTACTTACTGTCTATTTTTACCAATAGCTTTGGCCATAATCTAGACTCACGGGGGCAGCTGGTCTAACATAACATGCGATAAAACCCTCCACCATGCAGCACTCCTTCTAAATACAAAAACACTCATGAAACAGCTCAACGTTTCTGATTGGAACAATGTATACACAAGGCTGTTTGATCATACGCCGTGTAAGCCAACGCGGCCGGTGCGTTTTAATTGGATAAAATTCATGCGAGGCTATTTGGGAATAAGAGGCGCGAGAAACAGCAATTACATCACAATTTTCAGCTAAGCATGGATACAAGTTAATCTCATTTGCAATTAAGAGATTGATTCGAACCATGATGAATAGCTGATATAAAATTGGGCAGTGGGTGTGTATTAAAAGCCAAAGCAAACAGCAATTAGTGGGCAAGCTTTTGATGCAAGGGTTGTTTGCTAATTCTGACTCCTGATGTTGCAGAGGTAAATTCAGTCATTAATTATCGAAACTCGAGGCCCGCACTGCCCCCACACATCCGTCATTAAGGATATTTTAAGATCATGGCTTGTACCGCTGATTAAGACTCAAAGGTCACTTGTGGATGGGCACTTGTAAGTATAGTTATCATCATTCTCAAGAGTAGGAAGAAATATACAACTTTATCTGAATGAGATTAGTTTAGTTTAAAGCTGGCGTACCTAACTTTTGGATCCACAAAAAATAACATGTACACAATCCATGTAACTAGTTTCTCGCTCGCAAAAACAGTTTGGCTTCATCTCTAGTTTTCACGTACATGTTCTGTATTACTGTATACCCTCACTCAGCCAATCAGCTCGCAGAATGAGCAAGATCAGCTGTATGACGTGGTCTGATCTGTTTTCATGAAATATTACTTCAACAAAACAACACTCAAAATCTAATGTCTAAGAAAACAATTCTCCAGCTTTAACAAAATCTGTCAGTCATTGCAGGATGAGTGACTAAACTAAGATACCGTATGATTAACTGGCTTTATTATCATTAATCATAAAACAGAGAGACAAGATTTAGCTTTGTTAGTAGAGCATTAGCCTGGCCTTAGCCATCCGTACACTCCGCTCAATCATCATTTCACTGCATGTAACGTCTGGGTCTAGTCCCTGGGTTAGCGATAACAATCGGTTGAATATCGACTGACCAACCAGCGAGCATGGAAGGAGAGTGTTATTTAGATGTGGGTGACGTCAAGAGTTTGCGTCGAACGGGAAGGTAGTAGTTTGGCAATGACGAAAAATGCGATAGTAAAGTAATCCGGTCTGGTTCTATCAAGAAATTGAAGTCGGAGCAATAGGAATGTTTAGCAAATTTAATCGCTAGAAAAAATTGTGGCGCTACTCCCCACGGGCTCCGTTAGCGGGAAAGAAGATGGCTAGGCTAAATGCTAACGACTCACTCGAGTGCAATACATACGTAACGGTAAACTCAGATCCAATCGTTTCAATCTGCAAAAGGAGTTATCCCTCCCACCTGTTAATGGAGCTCAATGGAGCGCCTCCAGACCTTAGTACGAAATGTAATTTGTACTATGGTGTGGTACGACCAGGCTAGTAGAGCATTGGTGTTTGAACCTAGTGGTTGTAGGTTCGATCCATGTCACCGACTCCCACTGATGTCTGCTGTCGTTGTGTCCTTGGACAAGACACTTACTGTAACCCTGACTGGTGCTATGAGCTTTGCCAACCCTATGACCCAGAAATGGACTAATACATTGGAAGAAAATTAATGAGCAAATCCCAGTAACATCCATTAAAGAATGCATCAGTGGAGCATTTTTGTGTGACCAGTCCGGTGTTATACCTTTCCTTATCTTTATGAAACACAATTACATTTAGATCACTTTTATAATCCTGGCCCTTTACCCCTATTTAAACCACTGTCTGTGATGTCTATTATTAACCAGTCACTTGTCTCCACACTGGGCACATAAGGACTATACAGATGGCTTCATATGGTGGTCAGGACCTCTATCTCTTCTCCATCGTCTCTCCATTTTCCCTTCTTTTCTTGTTCCGCTTTAATTGGCTGCCATTCGACCCAAGTCTTCTGCTTTTCTGCACTCGGGGCAAGCATTGCACAGCTTTTCTGAAATGCCATTCAACCGAGAGCCGAACACCACCTCCGCTAATACCCAATAATAGTCTATAAACTCGGTACAGATGAGGCGGTTACCTGTCTGAAGCTGAAGAAGTCAACCCGGGACTATTTTAGCTCTTCACAGCCATTAATTTATTTTATTTAATGCAAGGATCAGAACCTAAGGCAGTAACTAAGCAACTGCCAAAGAGAAAAAAAAAAATTGGGTTGTGTGGTTAAGGATAATGAACAAGGGTTTCGGATCGCATAACTACCAGGATAAAAATAATAATAGAAAATGTGTCACTGTAATTGGTTGCAACAAGAGACAGTAACAGGACAATTTGTGCACACAGAACTCGAATGATGTTTTTTGGGTGACAGCCCTGGGCAAAGTCAGAGAAATAATCCCAGTAAGAAAGAGCATTGAGTGTCTGGTGCTGCAGCTCATTGTGGCATCCACCAGGGGTCCCACTGTCACACACTATTATGTACATTAGGTGAGTCAATTTAGGTAATAATGCACTGACAATAATTATGATAATGGAATAAGAATAATGATAATGGAAAGGCAAGGTAGCACACTTCATAAACAAGGCAACTCAAAGTAATGAACAAAACAAGATAGAGCCAGTCACAGAAGGAATTCAAGTCATAACTAATCACAGCACATTAAAAAGAGTGAAGATAAAATCCTAACCTTAACCTGGATTTGTACATTGTCAGAGAAGAAGCTTGTCTCGCATTTTCAGAAAGAATGTTCCAGATTATAGCAGCATGAATCTGAAATGCAGCCTGCTCAAGTTTACTTCACCCTCTGGGCAGGATAATACTACTACTACTACTACTACTACTACTACTACTACTCATAATAATAATGAGAACAGTAATAGTAATAAGAATAATAATAATAATAATAATAATAATGATAATAATAATAATAATAATAATAATAATAATAATAATAATAATAATAGTAATAGTAATGATAGTAATTCTAGTCACATTTGTTAATAATGATAATAATGATAATAATAATAATAATAATGCGAAAAAGATTAATAATATAATGTTTTCGTTAACGTTCTATGAAATAATAAATCATAACAAATAAAATCTACCAAAGAATTAGAAGCCTACAAACATAATGACAGGGTATATGCTTGTTATTTTATGTTTTATATATATATTTTAAATGTATTTCCAACAAATACCAATCACAGCATACACTCATACACACGCGCACACCCACACACTCACACACTCATTGGTACTATAAGGCAGGTCGGCTCGGGCGCTTGCTCAACAGCGTGCGCGTCAAGTCAAGAATGAGGAAAGGCGTGAGTGCGCGCGGAGGAGAACAACTTGGGAAACTCCTTTGACGCACCGCTAACTTGTCTACTCCACAGCAACATGGAGCCTCCACTGCTGCGCTGTCTGTTTGCGCTGTTTTTGCTCACTTTTGCGCATTCCGTTTTGGGTAAGAAGCTGTGTCTTTCTCTAAACTTTGTCCAAACTTTCACCTGCTCAGTCCGCTGGCCTTATAGGTGGGTGTTTCCTCCACTGGACATTGGCGTGCCTCCACATGTCCTGCATAGCGGAAAGTGCTGCTTTTACATAGTGTCGTTTTGGGGAAAAAGTAGGTCAGATTATTTGTGTTGAAGTTGAATGAAAAGTGGATGGTTCGCAGCTCAAAGTGGAGGGTTCACATCTGTCCTTATATGGCATTGAAGAGTCTGGGATGCGTTTCCTGACGGGGACAGAGCCTACTGCAGACATGAGTGAAACCAGGAACTTTACTTATGAAGAAGGAGACATCTCTGTTGTTTATATTTTGCATTCGACAAAGACACTGAACTATTCCACTACACATGTCTATTTAGTCCATCAACTATTCACAACATGAGTTATGGGTGGGTGATTTTGACCTTAATAATATTGTTCCCTGATACCACATGTCAGACCTCACCGTGTTAATATGATAGAAATGTGTCAAAAACATGTCATAAAATGTAGCATATGTTGGTGGTCTAGTTAATGTCTTCCTAGATGGATATAAGATAAGATAAACCGTTATTTGTCCATGCAGTGGGGAATTTTATATTTGTGCACAATACCGCAGAATGGAAGAAGAAATCAAAACAGGATCTATTATCTAGTCTGATTATAGATAGATCATAAAATAAAATGATAAGATAATGATGTCAAATTAACCACAAGAATTCTGATTCTGTACAAATCTTCAGAATCAGAATTCTTTGTATTGTCATTGTAAGTAATCAGAAGTCACAAACCAAACTCTGGCTCATGCGGCAAACAAGTTTTTAAAAAGTAAAACATATACGTACACACAATAGACATTAACAGTGTAGATTATTAAATCCTCCTCACACTTTTTCCTCTATGGTTTTCATCTCGATCAAAACAACAGGTGATGGCGCCTTCATCCACAACTCACAGAATGGTTGAATGGGAACTTTTCATGTTTAAAATATATAGCTGAGTTGTACAAATGGAGAAGTATTTCAGTATGTGTGAATGTATTACTGAGAATTAATTCATTACTTCTGCATTAATGAGGGCTTACACTGAATGCGGAAGTCTGTCCGAGCTCTGACCTCCATCCCAGAGCAAAGTACTATACACTTGATCAACTCCCCTTGTGTTTTCTACTGTCTGAGATGTTGGAGAAGTATGTGTGGGCTGATTGCAAGCTACAAGAAAATGAGAGATTAATATGTTTTAGTGGTGGTTTAGTGACTTTGAATGTCATGTAGGGATTGTCAATACTTAGATAATACAATTTTTTGCAATAACAACTTTTTTAAATTTCAATGAACCTGAGCCAAATGCATTGGTAGGTTCAGGAAACAATAGAATTTATTTTAAACATTTGCGCTAATGCTGTGTTAAAGCTGGGGTTCCTCACTTTGTAACCCCCCCAAAAATTGCCACTATGCACTATCTAACTAGTTTCTCGCTCTCAAAACAGTTTGGCTTTATCTGTAGTTCTCTCATGTATTTATTATTGGCTTCTGTCACATCTCTATAACAACGTTTTCCAGAGATAAAAGTGAAAACAAGAGGACCACCGTCACTCAGCCAATCAGCTCTCAGCCCAAAGCATCAAATAGAAACTCACAAGGCTCCTTTAACACCTACAAAATATAGCATGTTTTCAAAGAAGTTTTTTTTTCTTTTTCATTTGTATATTTAGTAGTAGTAGATTTGTTTATTCGATCATAAATAATAATTATTTTTTGACACAAAAAAGGCATTCAAAAAAGGACAAGGTTACAAAAACAACAGCTTATGTCAGTCTACATGCTTTAACATAGATTTACAAACGCAATTGTGACCGAAGGGATTAGGCTGAAGTATAACTTACTTTTTGCCTAATTCAATTCATAAAGTAAAGTCTCCAAAGTATGGGGCAAAACCCTTCCAAAATATTTATTTCAAACATGCACGAGATAAAAACAGTTATTCACGGAAGAATATGATAAGAAGACAAAACAAGAAAACCTGTGCATAGTTTGAAAAGGGATCGGTCAAAGCCAAAAGCTCCCAAAACTCAGCATATTTCACAAAATATTATGTTTACAAGACGCTTTATGCTGGGACAGAAGCTTTATGAAAAGAAATTACAAAATAATTATAAACATTTTTGCAGTGGATCAACAGCACTCCTTCATAGCGTTAAATGTTTGGATAGGGGTCCAGAGCTGAGATATGATCAGAAGTGTTATTAGAAACTGTAATTCAACCTCTTTTGTGAATATATGGCAGACAAAACCACAATATTTCTTTTCTAATGGACGCAGCGCTGGACACATAGCAGGCATCTGGCACAAAACCACATGCAGCAGTGTTAAAGATTAAACAGGACACACCCATAAGCCATAGATGATAACAGAACAGACAAGCAAATAGTTGGGTCACATGCAGGGCTTTGTTAAGTGTTGAAACGACTGTGAAAATACAATCAGTGTTAATGACTTTGGCCAACCATGTCTGCGGTAGATGTGCACATACTGTAGGTGCATGTATTAGTACAGCAGTCATAGTGGTCAGATTATAGTGTCATTTGAGCTCTCAAGTCTATAAGCTCACTCGAGAATCATTTCTTTCAAATCCACATGGGTCAGCTGCAGCCAAAATCTGGACAAAATCAATGAAAGGAATGTTATTGTTGGTAGAAGAACAAATTACTGTCAGACTTTTGCCAGAATTGTACAAAGTAATGTTGTTTTTATAGATATAAATTCATGCTTCATTTGAGGTAGGGAGAGGAGCTCAGTCACCCGGGAGGAGCTCAGAGTAGAGCTGCTGCTTCTCCACGTCGAGAGGAGCCAGTTGAGCTCGGGCGTCTGTTTTGGATGCCTCCTGGATGCTTCATGGGGAGGCGTTTCAGAGACTTCGGGAAAGACACATTGGAGGGACTAGTCTCTCAGCTGGCCGGGGAACGCCTCGGGGTTCCCTTGAATGATGCAGGCAAAGTGTGTGTGGATATGGAAGTCGAGGCATCTCTTCTCTGATTTCTGCCCCCGCTATGGGACAACGGATAAAGCGGAAGAAAATGGATAGATGGATAGAAAATTCATTCTAATGTCACTTTACGCAAATTCTAGTGGCAAATGATAATACTTTTATACCACAGTTTTGCTCATATTGTGCTGTGGTTCTTACATCAAAAATGAGTATCTTGTTTCAAAACTAGTTGAAACAAGAAACCCATGTCTACACTCGTACCCATGTGGACTCATATGATGTTTATTTTAAATTGATTGTGTTTGCTTCTAGTGTGTGGATTTACTACAGTTACTTTGCTTTGTCTGATTCCAGGGTCCAACATCTGCACGTCTCGAGGGGTGACTACTTGCCGTCAGTGTTTGGCCGTGGACCCGAGCTGCGCCTGGTGTTTTCAGGAGGTAAAACATGTCCAGACACAAAAGTCATTCCTCGCTGTTCAATGGTCTTTTCAGTCTTTTACTGACGAGCAACAAGAGTAAGAAATGTGAAGAAAGACGGTTCTGACTTTCTTTTCTCTAGACTTTCGATGTGTTTTTAGTTGTTTTGCTGATCTGTTCCTGCACGATGAGTTGGATTTATGTGTGACGTTTCTTAGATAAATTCAATCCTCTATGATCAACTGAACTGAATTTCTCCATTGTGAGATAATAAAGCACATCTCATCTCTCATCTGTCAATTCTTACAGTGAATAATGCTTAAATCTGGGTCTTTTTTTTTCTTCAACTTTATTTATTGAACATTTTAACAATAACAGACATACAGCATCAAGTAAAAAGGTGAAGAAGAAAACAGACAATACCGCCGAATGTCAACCCCAGCGTCCACCCACCCCCCACCACGGGCCAAGGAATAGACAAAATAAAAGATAAAAAAATGAAAAAATAAATGTATAATAAAATTAAAATACAAGACGAACACACAGACACACTCACACACACATACAAACACAAAGGGGAAAAATATGAAGTGGATAAGCAAAATAAAAACGTATTCCCCCTGTTGCAATTTAATCCTCCTCCAGGTCATGAGGAAACGTCGTAGAGTTAATAAAGTTAATAAAAGGATCCCAGGTTTCATGAAATGTTTTGACTGAGCCCCTTAGTGAGAACCTCAACTTCTCAAGCTTCAAATTGTACAGGACTTCTCGAACCCAACGACAATGTGAAGGGGGACGGGGAAGCTTCCAGTTGAGTAAAATCAGCCTTCGGGCCAGCAATGTGGTAAACGCAACAACCCGCTTCATTAATTTAGGCAAATTTGAGACAATAAGGACCCCAAAAATGGCAGTAGCTGGATTCGTGGCAATTAAATGACCATATGATAAATTTGGGTCTTTTTTAATAATTTCAAATCTAGACGTTCCTGCTTTTCTCCAAAAGTTGGTGGCAGCTCTATGTTAAAGAATATATTTTTGAAAAACATTTTGAAATAGAAAAAGTCCAAATGTTTTCTGTGATCGGTATTTGATTGTAAGTTATTAGACTCACAACCCGCTGTATTATTCTTAAGTCTGAGATTCCTTTTTATTGGCCAACATCATGAATATGTTTTTGAGTATTGTCACTTATAGATACCTTTAGATGCAAATAGTTATATCCGAGTGATTTGCATTGACAAAAATGTTGATTGTCCCATAAGACTTAGAAATAAGCTATACACACACACAGTTACCATAGTTACCAGGAAGAATCATTCAGCTGCCCTCTACCACTATTTTAAACTATTACCTCTTTGAATTGTTGTGATGTCACATGAATGCATCCTATTGTTCTGTATGCTGTTTATCGGCCTCTAAGTGAATGTAGTTGGGTTTTCTGTGTAGGAGTTTGGTAAAGGAGGCTCCGGAGTGTCCCGCTGTGACTTGAAGACAAACTTGGAGAAACTGGGCTGTGTCTCTGTGGAGTTCCCTCTGAGCTCTTTAAAGATCCAACAGAACGATCCGCTCAGCGACAAGGTGTCCGGCAGCAAAGCCACTCAGATCCGCCCCCAAAGGATACACATGGTACTGCGGCCAGGTATGTGACTGACTATAGTGTTGCGTTTTCACAATACATACATTACAATATTACAATGATATAATATTCCCCTTTTTTGCTGTGCAGAAAAATAGTGCTGTCTTTGTTTTTGTATTCTTTCAACAGAGACTTAGTCTCTAGTAAAACTAGCGAAGTCATGCACATTTGAGTGAGTAATGTAACTGAACCAGATTAAAACACACTTTCACACAGACACAATGACACTGTAGTTTTTTGTGTGCAATCAGATCTTGTCATCATAAGCAAAACATATAGAGAAATGTGCACATGCATTAAGAAATGTTTGTCCTGTATGAGTGGACGGCACATACAGGACAAGATGAGATGAGATAAACTTCATTGATCTCACAGTAGGATTAAGTAGCTTACAAACCAGACCCTTAAGGCGCCAAAGTAGCAGAATTTCTAAAGTTCCTCTTTAATACAGGACACTTTCTATCCAGTGAAATGACTTCCAGCAAAATGTACACATTTTTTTTCTTTTCTTTGATTTCTGTTATTGATTAAAACTAAATGACTGTAGTAGGATATGGGCAGAATAAGTGGGTAAAGTGACAGAATAAAATTATAACATAATGGCCGCAGTGGTTGCTATGGTTATGATACACATATATAATTCACCTCTGATTCGTTAATTGCAAAACATTTTGATCCATTGACTTGCCGAATAAAAACAGGTTCATCCCACACTTTCTTACTTACATATAAACCTTTAAAATTATGTTGGATGTTTCCCAGGTGACACTAAACGCTTCACGGTGTCTGTCAAACAAGTGGAGGATTACCCAGTTGACCTGTACTACCTCATGGACCTGTCCTACTCCATGAAGGACGATCTGAGCAAACTCGTCAAACTCGGCAACAAACTGGCCCTGGCCATGGGTGAAACCACCAGCAACCTGCGCATGGGCTTCGGGGCCTTTGTGGACAAGACCACGTCCCCCTACATGGACATGTTCCCAACGGCTGTCACCAACCCCTGTGCAAGGTATGAGCTAGATCACATGGTTTTGGAGAAGTTCATTTGTATATTTAGTAGGGGTTCATGTTTAGCTTAACCAAACATAGACTGTGTCAGAAAAGGGATTTATATGTTATGGTTTTGGGGAGATGTATATAACACATGGATCATTATCTGCTGATATTGTCACTTTGATCTTAATCTAACACTTACTAATAGATTCTATGTACATGTTTCTATATTAGTGATAGAATGCTTCAACCCAACATAAATATACAAAGTCAACATTTTGGGGATATAAACTAAGCAGGACAATACAAGAAAATTCAGGACTAAATTCAAGAATCACCTTAATGAATTATCTCCCTCACACACATACATTCCAGTTTTAAGATTGTTGGTGTCTGAGGAGGGTGTGAGGCTTACAGTTGCTGTTTATTGTTTAGCATCAGTGATACCTGCCAGGCTCAGTTTGGCTTTAAGCACGTGCTGCCACTGACGGAGCAAGTGTCCCGCTTCACTGAGGAGGTGAAGAAGCAGCAAGTGTCCAGGAACAGGGACTCCCTGGAGGGAGGCTTCGACGCCATCATGCAGGCCGTGGTGTGCAAGGTACCGACAAACTCACATTAATCTATTATCTACTCATCTAAATCAATACTCATTTGACATGATACATGTGTGAATATTGAGATAGAAAGTATTAAATCCTTTTTTATAATCCTCTATTTTGGCCACCCTGGAAAAGCCATGTTCCAGCTTCTTCCCTCTGGCAGAAGATATCGTTCACTGAGTTGCAGGACTTCTCGATATGCTAACAGCTTCTTTCCACAATCTGTTTTCAGTTTGAACGGAGCACTTTAATGATCTTGCTTTGTATTGAAATTGTTTTAGTCGATCGATTTCACAGTGTCAATTATTTACTGTTTTGTTTGTTTTATTTCTGTACTTTTAATCTTGTTTTATTTATGTACTTGTCTTGTGCACATTGGGGACTTTTGCAAATGTATTCCAATGGGGTTTTACTGCAAATGGCAAATAAATTAATCTGTTCTGAATCTGATCTGATAATCCTGTCTCTTCTGTTAGGATCAGGTCGGCTGGCGCCCGGACGCGTCGCACCTGCTGGTCTTCACCACAGATGCCAACACACACACGGCGTTGGACGGACGAATCGCAGGCATCGTCCAACCGAACGACGGACTGTGTCACCTGGACAACAACAACATCTACAACAAAACTACTGTGCTGGTACAAAGGAATGCAAAAAAAACACAAATTAAACCACACATTAAAGGTGCAGTAAGCGATTTTGATCGCTTAGCCGTGGCACCAACTCGAAACCACTCCCCCCCCTCCCCTCGCCTCCCCACCAAACCAAGCATCCAGTATTTTCTTTTTTTTGTCACAACAGGGAGAGTGGATGGAAACGTGAAATTCTTTTTTTTTGTTCAGTCATTTTAGGCTTTAGAAAATCTGATAACTCAGGAGCGCGCACTCACGAGAAACAGGAAGAGGGTGAAGGCAGTAAACGCATCCCATTGGTCCGTTCCAGATTATGTTTTATAATTTTTTGTAGACTATAGGCATTTGATCAATTCCATTACTTTTTTTAAAACATATGATAAAAATACGTCTTGAAAAAATCACTGACTGCATCTTTAAGTGACCACTGGATCAGGAACCAGGGACCATTAGATTCAACAGCTGAACGCATGATTGACTGATGTCCATTGGTTAATCAGTATTCAGTAAACATGTGGTCCAATAGGATGAGCAGACACAAACAGATGTATTCTAACAAACTTGTATTCTGTGAACTGGGACGGAGATGCTGTCCACACTTCGTTGTTCCACGAGTTTTAGACTTATTTCAGGAGTATGGAGTCTGATATTCCTTGCATCATGGATTCTTTGCCTGTAATATTTTGCCCATCTTCTGTGCACTTATGAGCATATGTTGGGAATTCAGGACCATGGATATTAAAGGCCATATTTTCCAAGGGTGCAAAAGGAATAGGCTCAGGTATAACAGTGGCACAGACTGATTTATCATGCACGGTATTGCACATGCAGACAGACGTAGCATGACCGCAAAGTTATTTCCCATGAGTCTGAACGAATATGGATAAACTGGGTGTTGTATTGTATGTTTTTAATTACAGTAAGTGATGATGTCTATTTACTGCTTGAAAATACCTCAAATTTTTTCCCCTTCTCAGGATTACCCCTCTATGGCGCTTATGACTGAGAAACTGTCTGAACACAACATTAATCTGATTTTTGCTGTGACTGGTGTCGTGGTGCCTCTGTACAAGGTAAACTCACTGCTGCAACAATCCCATAACACTAGTTTATTTTACTTCACACAAAAATTAAACATTGTGTGAACTGTGTTTCCCAGGAGTACAGTCAGCTTATTTCTGGGACGACTGTGGGAATGCTCGACCAGGACTCTGGGAATGTTATTGGACTCATTCAAGAGGCCTATGCGGTAAATAATGACACATTTCTCATCTTTCTATCCCAGCTTTCAAACTGCACTGAAATATTGTTGCTTTCCCTTTTTACTGATCTTAATTAAAAATCCATCCATCCATCCATTTTCTTCCCCTTAATCCATTTCTGGGTCGGGGGGGTGGCAGTCAGAGCTGCACCCAGTACACAGAGCACCAGCCCCTCACTGATCCTCCTGCAGGTGGTGAGTCCACAGGAGCTGAGATCTTTCAGTGGGAGCTTCAGGCAAAGTGGGGTTAAGTGTCTTGCCCAAGGACACAACGACAGCAGTCATCAGTGGGAGTCGTGAAGTAGGTCTTATGGTGGGCTTGAACCCACAACCTTCAGGCCCAAAGGCTAATGCTCTACCAACTGAGCTACTGTCGCCCCCACTTAATTAAAAATGACTTTGGTAAAATGATCACTTTAAAGCTAGGGCACGTCACGTTTTTTTTTTCATAAATACTACATGCAGTTTGCCCAACAACAAGTAAAAGTAAAAATAAATCAGACCAACAACAAACATACTTTGCATACTTTTAGCAAAGAGCCCTGTGAGTCACTATTTGACGGGGGTTTTGGGTTTTAAGATGATGGGCTGAGTGAGGGTGGTCTATGGTTTTTCAATTTTCTGTCTGAACGAGCTGATACAGGAATAAAAAACAATCTGTGTTGAGAATGAACTAGTTACGCGCTCATGGATTGTATTCCATAGTTACATTTCTTGTGGTTTAAAATGTATTTCAGCTGGTTCTAGTTGCTTGTCTAGTTGCAAAAATATTGTCTATGTGTATTTAAACGCACACTAAATTCTATTATTACGCACACATGTATCTATATGGAGCCCCATTATACACAAGTAGGATTATTAGACTCATTATCATCTATAACATCATTTTCTACTTGTTTGATGTGGTTTTGTGATTTGTGTCTTGGCCAGAAAATTCGGTCTAAAGTGGAACTGGATCTTGTTGGCGTCCCGGAGGAGTTGAACTTGGCCTTCATTGCCACCTGCCTCAACGGAGAGGTCATCCCTGGCCTCAGATCCTGCTCCGGACTCAAAATTGGAGACACCGTATGTACTCAATCACACACAAACACGATAAATTATTATAACATGTCAAAGTGTAGAGAAAAAGAGAATTTGAAGACTTAATAATTTTGTTTTGTATTTGCTTCAGTGCATGACTTTGAGTGATTCCATATCGCTTAAGATTTAAAATTGTTGTTTTCCATGATATATTCTGTATATATAGGAGAAATTTTGGAAATCATTTTCTATAGTACCTCCAGTAGCCTGTGAATTAGCTTGCAACAAATGACGATGGATTTATAAAAACTATGTAAACATACTTTCTATAATGTTAGTTACTCACTCTCTCAAAGTTTTATGGTTTGTCTTTTCCACATCCTTTTTGTACAGGTCTCTTTCAGTGTGGACGCCCAGTTGCGCAGTTGTCCCAAAGAGAAGAGCCGCACGTTTAAAATCAAACCTCTGGGCTTCAAAGACTCTCTAGAGGTGACAGTGGACTTCGCCTGCAGCTGTGAATGTGAAGGCAGCGCTCAGCCCGACAGCGCCCTCTGCAGTCAGGGCAACGGCACGTTCGAATGCGGCGTGTGCCAGTGTCACCCGGGGCGACTGGGGCCCCACTGCGAGTGCTCCGTGGAGGACTACAGACCCTCGGACGATGCAAACTGTGTGGCCTCGTCAGACGGCCCCATGTGCAGCGGGCGAGGCGATTGTCTGTGCGGTCAGTGCACGTGTCACGCCAACGACTTTGGACAAGTGTGGGGGCGCTACTGCGAGTGCGACGACTTCAACTGCCTGCGCTACAAGGGCGCGCTGTGTTCGGGTAAGTACAGACACGTCCAGTTAAGAGACTTAGAAACTTCTAAAACTTCATTACTGTTTTTTCTTCTCTCACCAAATTAATTCTGCTTTTAGAGTGATTCCCGCATATTTGTGTTATCTATTTAAGGGCTGCGGTTAGTGCTCTTGCTTCTCAGCGAGCTCCTGGGTTTAGAAGGAAATTTCTGTGCGGCTTTTGCATGTTCTTCTTGTGGTTGAGTGGATTTCCTCTGCCACTACATCTACAATAGAAATGGTTGCTTGTGGTTGGAAGGTCTCCATGTTTCCAACCAGCACCAAACATTGGTGAGATTGACAGGTGGATCAGTGCAGTGTGTGCATTATGCGGAAAGGCAAAGCTCTTGATTCACCAGGCGATCTTTGTTCCCACACTCATCTATGGTCATGAGCCTTGGATAATGGCAGAAAGGACGAGATCAAGGATACAAGCGGTCCATACAAGCGCCCAGCCACTCTGCGGAACTTCCTCCGCAGAGTGGCTGGGCGCTTTCTTAGAGATAAGGTGAGGAGCTTAGTCATACGAGAGGAGCTTGGAGTAGAGGACCATCTGGACCTCTCTGGGGAGGACCGAGGGGAAAACCCAGGACACGTTAAACGGACTATGTCTCTCGCTGGCCTGGGAACGCCTCAGGATTCTCCCGGATGACCTCGATGTGTGTGTGGATTCAAAATTCTGGGCGTCTCAGCTTAAACTGCTGCCCCCGAGATCCGGCAAAAGGATACTATAAAGGGGGCGGAAATGGATGGTTGGAAGGTTCATCTGTCAGTCAATGGGCTCAGCACCAATCTGACGTCCCCTTTTTCCATGACTGGCCGTACAAGTACAATACCGGTTTTCTGTGATTTTGTAAAAATGGAAGAGCAGTAAAAGCGACAGTAGATGACAAATTAATTTTTTTTTACCGTAATGCAGGACTTCCAGCAAAATCACCCGACATACCTTTAATTCCTTGGTAATAAGATAAAATTGACTGCAGATTGAAAGTAGCTGGAGCTAAATCTGGTGTAAATCCTCAACTAAAATAACGAAACTAAACATATATGCATCCCCTTCAAACGCTCAAAAAGGTAAAAATAGTATGTTGTCGACTTCCCAGTGAGTCTGTCTATTGCAGAGTTCATTCAGCGCCAGCTGACTCAGATCCGCAGATCCTATAAACACCTCTCTGCGTTTACATTCTTACTAGAGCTCAGCCTGACTAATCAAAGTACACATCGGGACATAGCCTCCAGGATTAGGGCGCTGCTATTTCGCTTGAATTGTCCTGCTTATTTCACATACAAAACTGTGAAGGTTTTGGGCCTGTAGATGAATGAACAAACATATTCCAATATTAGTATATGTGACATGATCTTCCAGAGTATGAAATCATTAAACATACACTCAAAGTTTACAATAGGAAAGTTCCCACTAGACCTACATTTATATTTCAAATGTTTTTGGAAATCCATATTGTACAATACCAGTCTGGACTTGCCCTTGTACAGTGTAAATGAGATAGCAGTATTATAGGAAAACAGCTTAACTGGTCTCATGTTGATTAGAATATGTGGTTTTTCATATCTGTCTTACAGGAAGCCTCAAGAAACTCAAGAGCATTAGATATGGCGCTGTTGGTCTGCTACTTTAAACGCTTTTAAAGTTTACGTTTTTAAAGTTGATATGAACTGTTAGAATTGATAGTGTTAGATAAGTCTTTTTAGCCTGAACTCTTGCCCCGCCTGTGTGAGTGTCTAACACTGGTATTAAAGTTTCATAAAACCTTAATATCTGGGTCAATCATAAATAAATAAATAGTGCTGGTCAAAGTGGTATGAAATATGGCCTGACCCTTTTTCTCACGAGTTTTGACATGTTATGACAACACATATTTGGACACTACTTTCCAGCTACGAAATAATTTACATCTCATGCAAATCTTTAGTCAAAATTTGGGTTCGAACAAAATATAACGCATGTATTCTATTCTTTCTCACAAGCTCCATTCAGCACTGCCTTATTAGGAAGTAAAAAGCTCCACTATCTGCACCCTCCATCACTCATCATTTGTTGGACTTGGATTTATTACTCTAAATATATTGAGTAATTATGATGATATGAAAAGAATAGGGAGGTGGTCAAATATGTGGTAACATGTCAGCTGTTTTTTTTCTATCAGATGCATATTGAGTCACAATAGAAGGGATATCGCTCCGTACTCCAAACACGCACCCATGCCGTTGCTTAATATTGCTCTACATCTAAAACACATGATTATAGTTTTAAGTTAGATTTGAATGGGAAAGAAGTGAGTGAGTGTGTGTATGATCTTAATAAATATAACTATGGAACCCGCCCAAGACAGAATCTGGATTAATCCAAGTCTTAACCAGGAAAAATTGCCTAATTTTCTAAAGCAGGCTATAACCATATGCAAACATATAGTTTCCTGTATAAAAGGAATATTTAAGACAGACACAGATGGATGACAAGAGATTTTGGCAAACTGTATTGTGGGTATGTTTAGAATCGCGCATGTTTTATTATGACGTTTTGTATGTGCTATATGTTCTCTTTCATTAATTCTTTCTTTTCTCTATTTGAAAATATAAAGTGGTAATTAACTCGAAAAGGCATTACGGAACGTCACATGGATTTTACCTCTTTGGAATATACCTTTCAAAATCAATTATGTCTTTTGTTTGTGACCAAATTCCCTTTTGTAGCAAAGAGCTCCTCATGTTGGCTCCAGAGGTTGTGTTTTTCATTGCGGAGGAGTGTGCAAAGAAGACAGGAGCAGACAAGAGCTGCCCCGGGGCACGTAAATATTAAGACGGAGAGTTGTGCATTCTTTGAGTGGCACTTTGCCCGAAATGTGCTCAGAGCTTTAATCTGACATGTTTGATCGTTTAGCCCTGCCAAACTAAACTGCATACTCTTATTCAAGCTGGGCTGTTGTAGTTTCTCCAAAATACGTAAGTTATTTCGGTTGCTATAGTTTTTAGTCTATTGTTTACAATATTTTGCTCCTGTTCTCACTCCTGAACACCTTAACTTACTGTAATAAAATAGTTGTAGATTTAATTGGCACAAGGTCCACGCCCTTCTTTGGCTTTTGTGTTGTCACATCCACAAACGTAGGAAGCAGTAACTTTACTGTCCCACTGTTAAGCATTAACCCGGCCGACCCACAACACACAGCGGACCAAAGGCAGACAGCGCACAGGGACCTGTTCCTCTGTTTATAAAATTACTCCAAATGTTTTGAGTTGTAGAAAAGTGGATTTTGGACCCTGCTGGTGTGACTTTTTGACCAGTTCCTTCTCCATCTGGGGCCTGACTCACTGCTATTAATCATGCATGTGTAAATCCTTTTGGGCTCTTGCTGGAATGTGGTTTCTAATAGCTGAACTGCAACCTGTCTGAGTAAAGTAATCCCAAACGACTCACTATTCAGTCTACATACGTACTGTAGAGTTTTTCAGTGGATGTTAGTTTTAGTCAGATCAATGGGTCTAATCATATCAGCATTTCATGTTTGTTACTTGCCAGAAATTAGCTGTGCAGTGTTTGTCATTGAGGTGGCTCGGGCATCTGTTCCTGATGCCTCCTGGACGCCCCACTGGAAAGGAGACCCCAGGGAAGACCCAGGACACGCAAGTCTCTCAGCTGGCCTGGGAACGCCTTGGGGTCCCACCAGATGAGCTGGAGGATGTGTGTGTGGATAGGGGAGTCTGGGCGTCTCTGCTTAGACTGCTGCCCCCGCGACCCAGCAACAGATGAAGCGGAAGAAAATAGATGTTTTGCATTGATAAACAAGGCTCCCCACTTCTATTCTTATTAACCAGGCCAAGAAAATATAGCAACTCAAAATAGAGCATTTAATATTTTCCATTACCAATAGTCTAGGCAAATATAATATAATTAACTTATTTATCAAAGTGTCTAGAATAACATACAAGAAGTCTTAAGAAATCTTTTTCTTATCTGTTGTTATCAAATCAACAACTTGTAAAGTCCAACGAGATGACTGTTGTTGTCATTTAGGGCTAAAGAAAAATAAATTAAATTTGATAGAATTGAATTGATATATTAAATATGGCCACAAATGTGAAGAGCTTTTATGCATATAAAAAATTACATTAAAAAGGTTGCTGTTTATGTTTACTTACTACATGTTCAATTAAAATGCTGACATAACTTTCAGCCAATCCACTGTATTGATCAATAGTGAAGACTTTTTTTTTCACAAAATGTTATTATTTTGTTTACAACCATCATGCAAGTTATGCTGAACATGTGTTGTAGACATTATATACTGTATATGCCTTAAAATATGTCATTTTACTGTATCTGTGTTATTACCAGCTGGAAAACTTTGATGGTTTGGTTCATGCTAGAATGTCAGACCACGGTCTTTGGTGCACACTGCCCTCCAACTACACTTCATCTTATGAATTTGTGATTGGTGGAGGTCGGAGGAGCAGGAGGCAGATTGGCAGCCTGGCTTCTGTCACTCTATCCCAGGGAAGTGTGCAATACTAGTTTACATTCATCCCATGTGGAGTGAATGAATAATGCAATGTAAAGTGTGTTTGGGGTTCATTATAGTCTAAATCAGTGGTCTCCAACCTTTTCAAAAGAAGAGGTGCCTTAACAACACAGAAATGGAAGGGAGCAGCTGTAAAAACTTAGACTTTATAATAACTAAGCCACTAAACAAACTAGATATACGTTTATAAGTGGACACCCCTGCCATAATGTCAACATGTATAGTTAAAATAGATATGTAAGGGTCATTTTAATTATGTTATTCCTTCCTGGATCCTTTTGGGAGCTGCCTGGAAGGGTGTGGTGAGCTCCCGGTAGCTTTCGAGGACCGCAGGTTGAAGACTCCTGTGGTCCATATGCAATACTTGAAGTTTCTCAATGTTGTGGTTTGCTCGCTGCATGATTTCGTTGTGTTTTTTTTCTCATTCCAATATTCGAAAAATCCCATGAGC